CCATGGGGCGGGGAACCTGCGGCCTTCTGATTTCAAGATTGTCCTTTTGTAAGCACCAAAGGAGGCAAGAAAAGCTTCATCTTTCTCTGCCGCACACCTTTCAATAAAAGGATTTGTTCTGTGATATTTGGATCTAGTCAAAAGGCCACACTTAAGGACCTAGAGGGCCACATGTGGCCTTAAGGCCGCAGGTTCCCCACCCCAGCCCGGCAGGTGGAGTCTGAAAAGCCATCTGGTGGGACCTGAGGGGTTTCCTATCACGCACATGTGACAGAGCACAGATATACAAAAGAACCCATAATGAGGGGAATCTGGGGGAATTTGCACTCAGAAATTGCAGCAGCACATCGTTGTTGTTGTTGTTGGTTTTTTTCTTTTTTTGAGACAGAGTCTCGCTCTGTTGCCCAGGCTAGAGTGCCGTGGCATCAGCCTAGCTCACAGAAACCTCACACTCCTGGGCTCAGGCAATCCTCCTGCCTCAGCCTCCCAAGTAGCTGGGACTACAGGCATGTGCCACCATGCCCAGCTAATTTTTTCTCTATATTTTTAGTCGGCCAATTAATTTCTTTCTATTTATGGTAGAGACGGGGTCTTGCTCTTGCTCAGGCTGGTTTCGAACTCCTGACCTTGAGCTATCCTCCCACCTTGGCCTCTCAGAGTGCTAGGATTACAGGTGTGAGCCACCGCGCCCGGCCTGCAGCACATCTTTTTCCCGACACGGTTTTCTTCCCGCTGTGGAGTGATGGCCGTGGGGTAGGGGTGGGGTCCGGCAGGAGGAGAGTAAGGGCAGGGGACCTGGGGAGCGAACTTGAGGGAAGGCTGAATCACCCGATGTCTGCTCTGTGGGGCTCCCAGGTACTGACGCTGGCCCTGACCGCTCGATGCCATGAAAGACGCAGATGGGCCCCCAGTCCCCATCGAGCTCACTGGGAAGGACCGGCCCTAATCCCACCTCTCCCCTCTCCTGGGCTGTGGCAGGATGGTGGCGAGGGCAGGGCAGGGGAGGGGAGGGGAGGGGAGTTGTTTTTCTAATGTCTTTATCTGGCAAAATACAAATGTGACAGTCTGTGGCGAGCTCATAAATATCTTTTTGAGATTTCACTGCCCTGTGAAATCCACAAGTCTGGAAAGAACTGAGCCAGGACAGGGCTTTTGTTTTACAGACAAGGAGACCAAGGTTCAGAAGGTGGGCACAACTTCCCAAGGCCACCCAGATCAGAAGGCCCACAGATTGTGACTCAACAGTCGGAACGATGGTAGCAAGGAAGTCAGGCCAGAGGAGTGGTTTGCCATTCCCAGACTTCGGCAGGGCACCCCTGGGCCCGATGCCCCCATCCGCCACCCCCTGTCCCCCCTGACTCTGCTCCCTGTGGCTCCCTCCCGTCATCCTGGCTCAGGAGCCTCAAACCACTTCCCCCTCCCCGAAACGGTCTGTGCACTGAATTGTCCAGCCAGGTCCTGCCTGTCTCTCCCGACTAGAAGGTAGGCCCCTGCGGGTAGGGGGCTTGGCTGCCTTGTTCTCCCCGTATCCTACTGCCGAGCGCGGCACCTGGTGCCGAGTAAGTGCTCGATGTGCGTTTGTTGAATGACTGAGTGAAAGAAGGGCCGAGGGTCACTCACTGGCCAGAATGGATGGAGAGGTTCTGGCCCACGTATCGCATCAGCTGGGAGGGCCCGTGGGCCCAGGTGCACTGGGTGGCCCAGGCCTCAGCAGACCGGGCCAGCCGCTCGTCCCAGACCTGGAGGAAGAAAGGCCATGAAATGCCCCAGGGAATAACTGCCATCTTCTCTGCAGTGTCCATAGATGCACATTTACCTGGTGCCTTCCTCCCGTGTCCCCCTGGAACCCTGCCACAAACCCACTTGACAGATGAGAAGACTGATGGCTCAGAGAAGGCCTATGACTTCAAGGTCATCCTCAAGTCCACGCCAGAGCCGAGATCTATGCCCAGGTCTCTGACTCCGAGTCTGGTGCCCTCTTTTGCTGACTGGGCTTCAAGCTGGGGGCTCCCTGGTTCTGAGCAGGGTCCCAGGGTATTTGTCGAGGAGTTCTCAGCAATCCCTGGAAGTGACCGAACCCAGAGCGATGGGAAAATAGCTAATCTTAAAATTGTATTTATTGTAGTTTCTACATGTGTTTATTTATTTTAACATTAAACAAATTTTAATTCATAAGCTTCTCCCCCCACCCCACCTTTTAGAGACAGGGCTTCACTCTGTGGCCCAGCCCGGAGTGCAGTGGTGCAATCGCAGCTCACTGCAGCCTCAAACTCCTGGCTCAAGTGATCCTCCTGTCTCAGCCTCCCGGGTAGCAAAAGCCTTTTTTAATAGTAAAAACATGCACAAGTTTAATATATAAGATATCCAAGCAGGGAAAGTGGAAAGTCTCTAATCTCTCTCCTACATTTATCCCTCCAGCCACCCTGCCCCCTGCCCCCAGAGGCAGTCACCACTGTTTCTTGTATTCTCTTCTTGAAATATTCTACACCTGTATAAGCAGACATTTATAGACATATGTGTGTGTCTGCGTCTATCTGTGTATAATTTGACAGATGGCAGCATTCTATTCTGCACCTTGCTGTCTACACTTAACAAGATATTAATGGTTTATCTTGGTGATTATTCACCAAGTCAGTGAATATCTTCCTCATCCTTCTTTACAACTTCATAATTTTCCAATGGATGAATTACCCAAGTTTTATAACTGGAACAAGTGTCACTTAATAAAATACTAGTTCCCTTCCAGCTCTGACTTTCTGGGATGCTCTGAGATATTATTTGTTCATTCAGCAAATACTAAACAATATTTTTAGGCACTGAGGACTCTCAGTCTAGCAAGGAAACGAGGCATTAAACAAGTCATTCATCATTTGGCCCCTAGTGGGTGTAAGAACGTGAGAGAGGACCCGAACTTTCCTGGGGCTGTGGGAGAAAAGGCTTCTGGAGTCAGGGATGTTTAGCCAGACACTGTTCCGTGGGCGGAAGGTAGTGAAGGAGACACGAGGGTACCCAAACAGGGCTCCAGACATCTCCCCAGGGTTGTGTGACTCACAGTCTCTCAGCAAGAGCAGAGCAATGTTTCGCTCATGCTGCAAAGGGGTAAACTGAGGAAAGGAGCTGAACATCAGACCCTCCCCAGAGACCCTGGTGAGACACCTGGCTCTCTCTGTTTCCATGCTGCAAGTCACCAGTAAACACCTGTTAGGGTAGGTGCCACACACCCAAGTGGTGCTCAATAAGTGTGCCATTTGCTTGAAAACTAGAGGGTGTTCTAGGTGCCAGTCCTGTGTTAGTGAATGAATGAATGAATGAGTCAGAACAAACAGATGGCTCTACCTCATTCATTCACAGAAGTGCTCTGCAGGCAGTGGCCCTACCCGTGATCCCTGGGAAGATCTGTGCAATCTCATTAGTCTCCTTATCTGTAAAATGGGCAGGCTAACTCCTGCTCTTTCCACGGGGCCCGGACACCCCAATTCTGACGAGTGGGGCCAGGCTGGCAGGTGGTCCAGCTCTTCAAAGCCGGGCGTTCCAGGCCAAGGGGAGGCAGCTGGCGCTTGCTGGAAGGGCCGCGGGGAGGGCGCAGGGACTCACCATGTACTCCATGTTGGCGGCAGGTGGGTGCACGCTGGCGCTGATGCGGGTGTGATAATCCAACAAGGCGCTCATGTCCCAGGCAGAGATGTGGCACTTCCGGGGCACTGCTAGGCCACTCAGGGGCCACAAGGCTGTGCTCTCAGGCCAGGCCAGGGGCAGGGTAGCATTGGGCATCTTCAAGGCATCCGCTGTCTGGCCTGCCCAGAACAGCAGGCCTGCCAGGCCCATGGCGCCGGGCAGCAGAGGCATAGCTGGCTGGAGGGGTCACGCGTCTGCCTGGAGCAATCAGAGCTGGCTGCCTGGAAGGGGCAGGCCCGAGAGCACCAGACTCTGAGCGTTCTCCAGCATTGCCAGCCCAGCGGATGCTACCCCCTGGGCACTTGGCAAAGACCTCCTGCCGCAGCTCTGGTCCACATGCCCTGCACCCTTCCTTTCCACCCCAGTGGACGGAGCAGGTTGGCCAACAGGAAGAAATGCCCAGACGGTGGCTAATCCAGACCAGCTCTGGGTTGAGATGGGGCCACCACTTCAAAGCCAGGGCTCTGTCCCCCCAGCCCAGGAGCAGACAGGAGTCCTCTCCAGCCAGACAGCCTCTTCACCAGTGCCGCTTGTGTGGGCTCGGGCGAGGCCCTCGGAGGGCAGGGCCAGCCTTCCGCAAGGCACGTCGCCCAGCCCCCTTGTCCCCGAGTGGCTGCAACTTTGGCACTGAGAGTGAGACACGGAGGGAACCGGATGGCAGAGAATGAAAGAGGCAACAGGTCAGGGATTCCAGGAAAAAATACTCAGCCCCCTCGGGAGACCCCAGACCCAGAGGCTTCTCTCTGCCTTCCACACCCCAGCATTTTAAGGCCACCTGGCATCCAGGCTCAGAGCAGGCAGTCGATACGGCCCTGTCTAATGGGCACCTACTATGTGCTAGGCCCAGGGCCGAGGGCTTCACCCACAAGCTCAGCCAGCCTTCCGGAGCAGGTGCAATAGCTGCCTATTTTACAGATGAAGAAACTGAACCCCAGAGAGGTGAAGGAGCAAGCCCAGAGCAAAGCCAACCAGTCGGCAATAGAGCCGGGATTCAAACCCAAGTCCACTCCCAGGGCCCGGTTAGTGTGTAACGTTGATGCCATTTTCCGGCCAAACCAAATACAGCCGCACAGAGAAAAAAGCCACAGGGGGGTGGGGGGAGCGGTATTCGTCATGATGCCACTAAAACACAGCACCAGTTCGCATCATTCATCAAGCCTGCAGATCTGGGTAAAAATCCCCATTATTCCACCCCTCACTAACTGGGTGTTGGGCAGGTTACTCGACCATCTTGTGCTTCATCTGTAAAATGGGAGAAATAACGGTACCCGCCTCATGGCACAGTCATGAGGATGAAATGAGTTAACATTTGTGGAGCGCTCGGAACAGTGGCCGGTGTGCAGTGTGCTCTATAAGTGTGTGCGTGCACGTATGTACTTGTGTGAGTACGGATGCGCTTGTGTATTTTGTGTGTGCGAGCATGCTTACATGCACGTGTGCATGAGTGTTCGCGTGTCACACGTGTGTGTCCAGGTGCACGTGTGAGCGTGCAGATATCTGGACACGTGTAGCTGGTGAAGTCCTATTTGTGTTTGAATTGCTGAACTTCTGGGTTTAGGCAGAGTTCAGTTTTCTTCTCTTTACGACTTGTATTCCCCACAAATAGCAGGAATCGCTTTTGTCCTAGGAGAGGGTAGACTTACAACAAGAAAGGTGTCAAATACAAAAACACAAGTCGCAGCATTTGCAATCTGCAGACCCCTCTTCTAGCGACCTCTGAGACTGCCCAGGCTGGCCGCAGGCTGGGGTGGGGGCAGGCTGGCCCGGCGGCCGGTGGTGCCCGCTGGGGGCTGGGATTGGGCTTCCCAAGCTGGGTCCTCCCCCGACACGTGGAATTCCTGTCCCAGGCCACCGCCCAGCTGCAAGCCCAGCAGCCTAGACAGCACGGCTGCCCAGGCACACACCTTCCTGCCAGGGCGGCTTCCAGAGCCCGGGCGGCTCCCTGCTGGGTGCTAGCAGGAGGTGGGAGGGCAGAGCGCCAAGGGGTGGCAGCTGCAGCTCCTGACCGCTGCAGGGCTTTCCCACCATGCCAGGGGGACAAGAAAGACTAGCTCAAGGTAGCCTCATTTCTGCCTCCAGTATGCTGGGCGTCCTGAGGCAAGTCTCTAGCCCTCTCTGGGCTTTGAACGCTCCACTGGAGAAACTGAACTTAGAGCTCTTCTGAGTGGCAGGCTGGGCTCTGCAGCTCAGGGAGGGCGACACAAATAGCCCTGGCACTCAGGAACCAGGAGCGTGGACAGTTGCGAGCTCTCTCCAGACCTTACGTGGACGGCCTCGTTTAATCTTCAGAATAACCCTATTCTCATCACCAAACCCATTTTTATACACATGAAGAAACGGAGACACACAGAAGTGAGTCATTTGCCCAGGGTCGGCCATGCAGTGGGGGGCAGAGTGGGGTGCGCGCCCCGCCGCTGCCTCCCCACAGAGACAGACGTCGGGGAAGGCCCCGCAGCCCAGCCACGCGGGCAAAACCACGTCTCCTGCCTGCCGCGTCCACACGTCCAGGGTAGCAAACGCCCCTGGCCACTCCGCCCGGGGGGGCACTCTGCTGTCCTCGAGGAAGAAGGCTGTTCCCAGGTTTCCAGCAGGTAAAAATGTTAAGGGGTGGGGGCAGGAAATAATTAGGGTGGCCCAGATGAATGTCCTGGGCATTTTCTCACCTTAGGCCAAGAACATCTCAGTTGGGGGCGGGGGGAGTTTTACCCCACTGGATTCGGCAACTGCCCCATCCTCACCCCTTCTGGAATTCTCTCTGGACTTGGGCAGGGAAGCGGACATTCTCCATAGAGTAGTAGGATTTGAGGCAGCATAGCTTGGCTCCAGATCCAGACAGCCCGGGTGCAGGGCCTAGCGCCATGGCTTGCTAGCCGTGTGACTGTCAGCTAGTTACTTAAGCTTTCTGTGCCTCAGTTTCCTCATCTGTAAAGTGGGGCTAGCTCATGGCATGGTTACATGAATCAGTACATCTTAAGACACTTGACACAGTGCCTGGCACAGAGCAGGCAGTCAATAAAGCAGTCAAGAAATAAATAATAATAGTGAATAATAATCACAGCCAACATTTACGTAGAACATACTAGATGCCAGGCACTAAATGCTTTATGCACACGATCTTGTGTAAGCCTCATCCCAGCTTCATGGGTTGGGTAGCATGATCCCATTCTACAGACGAGGAAGTAGGAACTCAGAGAGGTTAAGTAACTTGCTCAAGTTCGTACAGCTAGTTCCAGGGGAAACTGGAACTAGCCAGGTCTCTCCAAGGCCAGGTCTCTCTGACTCTTACCCAGGGATCTTCTTGCCCAGCGAAGTTGTTTTTGAGAAAAAACTCTGGGTTAGGAGCCTGGTGCTTGAGAGAGGGGACTGCAAAAGCTGGAAGACCCTCGCTTAGGGATCACGTAAGTCACCTTCCCATTTGCCAGTTGAGGAAAGAGGTTCAGAGAGGTTCAGTGACTTGTCCAAGGTCACACAGGAATTGGTGGACTCAGGATTGCAACTCAGATCTATGTTCCTCCAAATCCAAGCAGGAGGAAGAGGGAGGGAATCGAAGAGAGAGGGGCAGGTGTGAAAAACAGCAGCGAGGATCCAGGCTGTGCTAAACGCTTCGCAACAAGTGCCCCAGGTTCTTCAAAACATAAACTGTAAGGAAACAAAAGGGATGGAAGGTTCATCAGTGGAGATTTCAAAGCCATACATTTGGATGATAAAACTATAAGGAAACACAAGGAAATACTATAAAACTCAGGCTGTGATTTGGGTGGGGCATTAGGGTGGCTTCTATTTCTTGGTCTGGCTGGTGATTACAGGTGACTCATCTCATAATAACCTGGTAGATTCCAGGCTAGTTTTATGTGACTTTCTATATTTGCATTTTATTTTAAAATAAAAAGACCTTTTAAAAAGTAATATCAGGCCAGCCGCAGTGGCTCACACCTATAATGCTAGCACTCTGGGAGGCCAGAGTGGGAGGATTGCTGGAGGCCAGGAGAGCAGCCTGAGCAAGAGCGAGACCCCGTCTCTGCAAAAAATAGGAAAATGAGCCAGGTGTGGTGGCACATGCCTGTAGTTCCAGCTGAGGACTAGAAAATCACTTGAGCCCAGGAGTTTGAGGTTGCAGTGAGCTATGATGATGTTCCTACACTCTAGCTTTGGTGGCAGAGCAAGACCCTGTCTCAAAAAAAAAAAAAAAATCAGTAGTAATTTATCCAGCGACACTTTCCATCTGTTACTGCCTTAACCATGTGCGAAGACTTTAATCTTCTTTTAACGGTTGAGGACACTAAAGTTCAAAGAGGGAGGGAACTCGCCCAAAGTCACACGGCATATAAATCTGGGAGCCGGGGACCTGTCCCCACGGCTGATGCGTCTCCACAGCACAGTGGCGGTTGGGCTGCTGGTGGCAGTCTCTGACCCAGCAAGGGGGCCTGCAAAGGCCTCACGACAGATTCAGAGAAGCCAACGCTGCAGGAGCAGAGCTACGAAGTCGGATAGCCCTGAGGGACCCGGGATGAGCTCTGAGCCTCAGTCTCCTGATCCATAAAATGGGAACAGGAAATAGGTGCTGCTTTCTTCGGCTATTATGAGAAATTCAGTGAGACATGGAAAGTTTTTTTAGCATATAAGGCAAAATTTTGTTCGACATTAGCTATTAACCTCCCCAAAAAGAAACACTGTGTCATTCCAAGATGCTCAAGAACAGGCAAAACTAACTTAGGTCAGAACAGTGGCTATTTTGGGGGATACTGACTCAGAGGGGGCAGGAGGGAGCTCCCACTGGGGTGCAGTGTGTGTTTCATAGCTTTACCTGGGCAGTGATTACATGGGTGAATTGTATTTATGTAAAAATTCATCTAGTTATACACTTAAGACTTGGGCACTTATACTAAGTTATGCCACGATAAAAAAATTTAGAGTTATATTATCACTCTATGCTATATAATTTAGAGTTATATATGGTAAAAAAAAAATCTTTGTTTAATTTAAAAGAGTTTTTTCAACATAGTAAAAAATTCAAATCCTATGTATGGAAAAACACACACATCAACAGAAATATCCCTTTCTTGTCCTCCCAAGACAGACCTTCTGCCCAATACACATAAATACCCTCCCCAATATACTCACTAACCCCCACCCCCAACACTGTACACACATAGCTAAGGACTCCGACACAACACAAATAGAAGTCACTGTTTAGGCTGGGCGCGGTGGCTCACACCTACAATCCTAGCACTCTGGGAGGCCGATGCAGGAGGATCGTTTGAGGTCAGGAGTTCCAGACCAGCCTCAGCAAGAGTGAGACCCTGTCTCTACTAAAAATAGAAATTAGCAGGACAACTAAAAATAGAAAAAATTAGCCAGGCATGGTGGCACACACCTGTAGTCCCAGCTACTTGGGAAGCTAAGGCAGGAGGATTGCCTGAGCCCAGGAGTCTGAGGCTGCTGTGAGCCAGGCTGACCCCACGGCACTCACTCTAGCCTGGGCAACAGAGTGAGACTCCATCTAAAAGAAACAGAAGCCATCGTTTGGTAGAGCAGACGCACCTACGCTCCCCCTCGGCCCCACAGCACACTCATCTTTAAATACAGAAGCTTTTCC